GCGATAATAAGCTGGTGCTGTGCGACACACTGTCGGCCGATATGGAGCCCCTGCCCAGCAATCATAGGGCCAGTTGTGTGGAGGCCATGGAGGCGGCAAAGCTGGAGCACCCGTGGTTTGGTCTCGAGCAGGAGTATATGATGATGGATGGGTACGATAGGAAATGGCCGTTGGGTTGGCCCAAAAACGGTTACCCCGAGGATATTCATCTGCCGCACGTTATCTATCACTCGGCTGTGGGCACAGGCAATAATGTGGGCCGAGATGTGATGGAGGCTCACTTCAGGGCCTGTCTGTACGCCGGGGTTAATATATGCGGCGAGAATGCGGAGGCTATGCTGGCTCAGTGGGAGTACCAGGTTCGTTTTGTTGAGTTATTTCTATTAGAGTAAACAAATGTTGTATTAATTAATGTATAACCCGATGGACAGGTGGGTCCGTGTGAGGGCATCCGTATTGGGGACGACGTAATGATGTCGCGGTATATACTGCTAAGAGTGGCCGAAGAGCTACAGATTGGTATATCGTTTGATCCGCGACCCATACCGGGCTGGTTGGGCGCCGGCGCTCACATGAACTTCAGTACCGACAAAATGCGAGCCCCGGGAGGTCTGGCAGAGATGGAGAGGGCGATTGAGCGACTCGGCAAACGGCACGACAAACACCTGTCCCTCTACGACCCGCGGGGCGGTGCCGACAATTTACGTCGACTAACGGGTAGTGAAAATTATGCTTCAGATGGCAGTAAATTTTCGGCCGGTGTGGGCAATAGGGGCGCCAGCGTTAGGATACCTAAACTGGTGGCCCAGAAGGGCATGGGTTATATGGAGGACAGGCGTCCGGCCTCTAACTGCGACCCCTATGTGGTGTCCGAAGCACTCGTACGCACCTGTCTTTTGAACGAGTAGTATATGTTTACTATTGATACAGTGTATGATTGTTGTAGTGTTTTTATTATTATAAATCTAAATCATTTTTATTTCGTTGAATTATGCTTTTTAAATGCAGTGTTATTTTGTTATGATAGAAGTTGTTGATATTACCAAATTAAATCTTGTTTTTAACTTTTTAAAATAAATTTTATTTGATTACAATAAAATGTTTTTTTAAATACATTACTCTACAAATGATGATATTTTGTGGTTTTATATCAAAGTAAATAAATTTCTATATAAGATAATTATTGCCATTAACAGTGCAAGATTTTTTTGACCATGATCTTAAGCTACATGTGCTGATCAGTGTGGATATGTATGATTGCGGTTTACATATCTGTAACATAACATATAGTACAATTCCTAGATAATCCACCTGGACATTCCTGGACGTCTTGACAACAATACTATTCATGCGTCGATATATCGTAAGTATAGTAACGCACAAAATGATAGGATCTGTCAAAGAATAAAAATATTTGTTTATATAATGATTAAAATGTTATAATTTTCGATAAATTGATATTTTAAATACAGACTTCATATCCGCGAAAACGGTTTATAATAAAGAATTTCCAACAATAAAATCCTATTTCGCGTTTTGCTATCCTTTCCATAAGATTTAATGTCTAAATAAATGTATGATTAGAGAGAGAGAGAGAGAGAGAGAGAGAGAGAGAGAGAGAGAATAAATATATAAATACCTTTAGTTTCAATCTAATTGATAATCTCTTTGACTTAACTATAAATGAATTCAACAGAATATAAGTCTTATTCGACTCATTATAAAGTGTGGACGAGATATGGATTATAAGCAATAAAAGTATTGTATAAACAATACACGTAAAAATTAAAATTGATTTTAACACCAATCTACCATGAATAACCATTGCCAAATGTAGCATAAAGCTAATTATCGTGCTCACAGTAAACCATAAATCAGCTAAAAATTTAGCCCAATAACACTTGTTATAGGTGTCAATTTCTAAGTATATTGAATTCAACCTGGTCATTAGATTAGCATCAAAACAAGTGAGCTCAATATTCCTGTTGATCAAGCTAATTTTGGCCGTTAGATAATATGTAATTATAGTGTAATACACAGTAGAATATACTGCTATGGAATAAGCGTAATGTGCCCAGATGCCAATAAATATAGCATGTGTTAGAACAATGGGCAAAATGTACCATGGTCTATTAAACGCATCAAATATTATGATCCCATAAATAATTCCTACTACAAAAACAATTGTGACAATCAATTTAGCCATAATTAATATACGCCGGCAGTAATCGCATAGCTTTCTAACCAAATCCTTATCAGTAATGCCAACACAGATGGGCGCCAATCGGCCGGTGATTACACTCAAAACATGTAAATCACCGGAATTTATACCACGTTTCTCATTATTGTAATTAATTAAAATAGCATCAATCACAAATAGTGAAATGCTAATAATTGATATGTTTGAGTTTAATCTTGTATTAGTAAAATGGTCTGGATTGCCCATGTACAAATGATATATATCGGGCATCTTGGGCATATAGATGTAAGCGTATGTTGCGAGTAGACATTTGACTATCATTACAAACGTTACGGTAAATATAATTGTACTATTATATAATATGGATCTTGGTTTATTATTGTTTAAATCGGGGTTAAATGATGATAACCCAATTCGGTAGAGATGACTGTCCGCCCCCTTCACACGCCATTCACGGGGTATGGGTTTAGTTGACGACCAATTGTTATTAAAACTTACCGAAAAGCTATACAATTGCTGACCAATCATATTAGAATGTAAACGGTTATGATGTTTTATCAAACAGTATATCTAATACTTAACATTATCTGTTTTGAATATAATTACTAAATGAGCATAATAATTATTGCTTTGAATAATGCATAAATATTATAGTAATTACTGTAGTAGAATAATTACAGTTATAATTGTACGTAATGTAATTATAATTAAAGTACTTTTAAATTAAACTTAAAACTTTAAAATTATTTTAATTTTAATGTATTATTTCTTTTTTTTAATGGTGGTAATAAAATTGTTGTAAAAATTATTGTATTAATCGTTTTAAAATAAAACATTTACTATTTATAAATAAAAATACTTTATTTGTCAGGTAATAGCGATTTTAACGATGCTTTACTACAATGAAATATTCTGACAATAATTAATGTTAAATCAATGAAACCAATAACAAGTAATTTGAAACAGAAATGCATACGAATTGATAGAACTCTTCGCTATTCATAGGAAACAAATCGAAACAATAGAAACCAATTGTGGGTCCGATTGACAAACGCTCCGCAAATCTCTGCACTATTAGCC